TGGTGCCCCAAGAACCTCAACGAAAGAGAACTGAACACTCTTGAAATAGTAGTTGTCAGTGTATCACATTTCTTTGGGTTGCTTAAATAAACTAGTGTGTCAATAGTTTTTTGGGACATTAATTTATTTGATTTATACCCTGCTTTCTTTTTCTTATGAACTTAAAGCAGCTTACATCATTCTGTTTCTCCTGCTCTCAATTTTATCCCCACAAAACAACCCAGTGAGGTAGGCTGGGCTGAGAGTCTGTGACTGGCTCATAGTCACCCGGTCATATAGTCACCCATGGCTGAGTGGGGACTAGAACCCAGATCACCCTAGTCCTAGACCTGCACTCTTAACCACTACCCCACACTCGCTCTCAGTTTGTACGTTCCCTCTTTAAATTCAAACAATGTAAAGGAAGTATGTGGTAATTTTTACAAGTATTCCAATAAAAATGAGGTGTAACATGATCTCATTAAGTGTGCTTTTATCAAATTAAATTTATTATCAAAAATCATCAAAATATCAAATGCTTGAGGTACTTGGGGACCAAAAATTAACACAGGAAATTTTTAAAACTTTAAATAAGGCTTTAAAATTTAAAGCCTTATTTACTAAATACAAGTGAAATAGATTGGAGTACCTGGGATTAGTGTGGGCAACACATGGCCTTCTGGATGATGGGAATTATTGTCCTACACTGTTGGAAGGCCACAACTGCCCATCATTGAACTCGGACATCAGAAAATTTCCCAGTGCAAACAGAAAATAGTCCTACACAAAACGTTCTAATTTGCATTGGGAGATTCTTTGAAAAAACCCACAACACAGACAGTGTTCGAGCTGGCAGCTCAGACCCCTAAGCTTGAGGTGGACATGTATGTGCCAACGTTAACTTTTTCCCCAGACCCACTTTTATTACTTATGAAACTAAGTTAGAAGTCACATGCATCTTGCAGATGTGGTTTTAATATCTAAAATTCTTCAGAGTTGTTCAGATAAGTGGCACTGGCCTTCCCAACAACAGCTGCACCAACCTGCTACTTGGTCCTCTGCCTGGGAGGAAGGGAATGGAGAAAACGTTGAAAGAACCTGGTTGATACTACTGCATTGTTTCAAGGACTGAGATGAAATTAATTCAAGAGGCCTAGAAGCAAGGGAAACTGTACAAATACTTGAAATCCTGAGCATTAATTGGGTGCATAAAGGAATTTACTTACAGCTATGGTGTATCCTTTGAATTATAATACAGCTTTAACCTGGATCATTACTGGGCTTGTTTTTTCTTTGTTTTGTTTTGCATGTGCACACACAGGCACATTGAGAGAGAGCTCCTTGTGGCAGCATGACTGACCTAACCCTTCCCAGATTTACTGCAATTGCATTTTATTCTCATAACACTCCAGCAGCAGTAAGCAGATCCTTTCCATGTCATAAGTAGGCTCTTATACTCAACAGAGAGAAGGAAATGGTTTTTTGTAATGCAGGGATGGAAGAAAAAAATCCCAGGATCATTGTAATTCCATCCCAGGAATTACATGCACACATGCCTAGGAATACTTGAGATTCTTACAAAGCAGTAGTGCCACATTTTAACATTCCTCCCCGCTCCCCAGTCTGAAATTCTTCAAAGCCCTTCTGATAAACGGCACTAACTGTTCCACAAAAGCTGTAGCAAATTGATACAGTACAAAGGGGGCAAATTCTGTTGCTCCTGAAGTCAGCTTCAGTGACTTTAGGATTGTAGCATTCAAAGCCTGAAACATTCTTCCATGAACCTGGACAATTTTTACAAGCATCCCGTTTTCTTTCTCTGTGATCCTCCATCCTTGGAAACAGAAATGTAGTAACCAGGACTGGATCCTTTTAAGTTGAAATATTTGGAAAGTTCTATCTAGGGAGGGTGACCATGTGTCCATATACCATGCATCTCTTTGAAAGTATGTCAGATGATATTCCTCTTTTGAAAGGGCTGTCCAGTCAAGTCTGGCTTAAAGATTAATTACATGAGAAGGGAGAACAGGGCCTTTGGACAGCACGTGGAGAGCAAGTGCTTTGAATTTCTATTTAAATTATAGTAATTAGATCCATGTGGATCATTGCAGATGCACTTACAAGCACAATTTATGGAAATCTGTCATCTTTAGTCATTTTATAGTAACACACTTCCTCTTTTTTAGTGGCCACCCTATTGTTTTTGCTGACTGGTGAACCCTTTCTAAAAAATAGCCCAAGCTTTATAAACTTTGTAACTGAAATATTTCTGCTGCCCTAATATTTTATATGTTTATCATTATACTGTACCTACTGTTCATTAGTTTTAATGTGTTGTGCTTAATGTTATGTAAGTTGCACTGGGTTTCCTTGTAAGCTGTAACTTGTACGTCTGGGAGTCCATTAGGACAAATTCCTTAAATAATTCGGCAACATTGGAAATTTGTCACCAAGAGATATGAGCACATGTAGGCATATATATTATTACTTTGATTCAACCCATTCTTTTCTTATGGTTTCATTCAATAAAACTGTACATCAGGGTGGTCCAACTTTTCATACCTTGAGGGCCACATGAGGACTTAGACATGGAACCAAGGGGTCGCACAATGAGTTACATTTCCATATTGTAAATGAAAGTGTTTGCAATATAGTTAATATAGACAATTAATATATTTAATTAACCAGTGAATGCTTTGTGGGCCTGTGATCAATGCAGAGACCACAGGCAGGTCCTTCTCTGACCACAGCCCAAGCACAATGACCACTTCTCTAGGGTGGCCCATTCCTTTCTTCCCTGTTTTTCTTGCCCAGGAACCTTTCAATGTGACCCCCTGGGCTTTCCTCCCTTCTTGGAACTGGTGTGCTGAGCCTCTTGTACCTGAGCCAACAAATTCTTCTCAGTATGCCCTGCCCACTCCTGCGGATGAGCACAAAGGCTTTCAGCTCCTGAGTACCTTTGTGCTTGACAACGGGAGCAGCATGGGGCATGCTAGGGCAAGTGCTTGCAAGGCTGCCAGCTTGACCCACTGTCTTTCTGAGCCTCAGGAAGAGACCACGATGGACTGGCAGCCTTGGGAGAGTTTGCCACAATCATGCCCGTGCCATTGTTGGGATCCAGACTGTGGGGAGGAACAGGGGCTCTGAGTGGCAAGAGATCTGCACAACAAGGCCTCGGGCTGCATGCAGCCTGCAGGCCATGTGTCGGTTCACTCTGCTGTATGTAAGACAAAAATTCCATGTGTAAGGCCACATGCAAAAAATGCTGGATTGAATGAGAACTTGATTCATCCATGTAGCCCCTTGCAAAGAGCACTTTTCTCACATTGCGAACATCTTTGGTTATGGGGCATGTATCAGCAAGCTGTGAGAGACTGGTAAGGACTTAATGAAAAAGTATCAAGAAAAGAGATTTGGGAGGGAATGGAGCAGAGGAGGGTGGTGGCTTTCGCTAGGGCAGTGGTGGCGAACCTATGGCACGTGTGCCACAGCAGGCATGCAGAGCCATCTCTGTCGGCACACTAGCCAAGTCGCCCCAGCATCATCCCAGCAGCCGAGCGTAGGATAACAGCGCACACAGGGGCCATGCGCATGCTCAGAAAGAAGTAGCGGCGCCAGGCGATGATGTCACAAGTTGTGACTCATTAGCCGTGACTTGTCCGAGCTTTCGCATGGCCGGTCAGTGCACTGCCATTTGCTTGGACTGACTGTGAGGTGTTTTTTCTAAACCAAAACGTCAGTTTTCAGGTTTTATTGTGTTTAAAATGGGCAGAAATGGTGAGCTGTGCAGAAAAAGCTACTCAAGGAAGGCCTTTTCAAAATTGCCCTCTTTTCACTGGAACTTTAGCCCTATATTAGGATTAGGGGTGTGCACCAGCGCAGGGTTAGGGTTAGAAAAATGAGGTGTGCTGGCATGATTTTGATGGTTGGAATGTGTTTAGAATGGGCAGAAAGGATGAGCAGTACAGAAAAAGCTACTCAAGGAAGGCTTTTTTAAAATCATCCCTTTCAGTAGTATTTTACCCCTATATTAGGGCACCAGGGTAGGGTTAGGGCAGTGGTGGTGAAACTATGGCACGGTTGCCACAGCGGGCACGTAGAGCCCTCTCTATTGGCATGCGAGCCAAGTTGCGCCAGCATCACCCCAGCAGCCGAGCATTGGGTAACAGTGCACACAGGGGCCATACACATGCTCGGAAAGGAGTAGTGGCGCCAGGTGATGATGTCATGAGCCTTGACTCATTAGTTGCAACTGTCCGAGCTTTTGCTTGGATTGGCTGTGAGTTGCTTTTTCTGAACTAATACTGCAGTTTTCAGGTTTTGTTGTAGTGTTGGCACTTTGTGATAAATAAGTGAGTTTTGGGTTGCACTTTGGGCACTCAGTCTCTAAAAGGTTAGCCATCACTGCGCTATGGTCTCTACATATAAAAGATGAATTTATCTATTTCTAGAAGCCTGAACAACTTTGTCAAATGATCTTGTCCTCCTTAAACAAGGAAACAGTGTTCAGGTAGCAGCTGGAAAATGGTGGTGTTCATTTTGGAGTTAGATCCCAGAAGGAGTCTCCATGGCTTCTATAGATGGGATGGGGGCAACTGGGATTCTTGAGAGAAAACTTAAGCATTATGGAAGGAAGGGCCAAAACACTAGGGGTCATAATAGTATTTTCTCTGGTCTCCTTTATTATGAATTCCTGTATCTAGATGGAGTGTTGACTAATACTAGTGGCAAAAGGCCATGGCAAAAATAGGGAGTTCAGATTTCACATGGGTTCCTGCTGAAAGCAGAGTGAGCTATCTTAATGGTTAGAGGAGAGGAATATTCAAACAGATGGAAGTTGTATGAAAGAAGGTCCAAAGTTAGAAGAAAATTGATGCGTAATCCATCAGAATGGGAAGATGGATTAGCTGCAGTAGCCTTGAAAAATACTTCTTTTTATTAGTTTCAAAACAAAGTCTTTTTATAAACAGACCTTCTGCATAAGGTCATAGAATTAATTGGTTTTTCTTTTAATCTCCCAGGTGATTGCTATAGTTATGGACTCCTTCACAGACATGGACATCTTAAGTGACCTCCAAGAAGCCTGTAGAAAGAGACGGATTCCAGTCTACATTCTTCTGGATCAAGCTTTTCTCTGCAATTTCATGGAAATGTGCAAAAACCTTGACTTCTGCCCTGAAAAGGAAAATGTAAGTTATAGGACACTTCCACTTACAAGAGGAAAACAGGGTGGCTAAGAGTTGTATGTTATTAAATACCTCATCCTCCAAAGTTTAGAAGCTTCTGCAATTATGCATAATTGTACAAAATGTTACAGCTTGGTGCATGAGCTGTCCCACTCTGGAGTAAAAGTATGGTGGCAAGTTCTTTACTGAGTTCCTTCTCCCCACTTCTCGGCAAGTCACTGTGAGGTTTTCAGGACATCACCTCTTCAAAAATCTATTCCCCACCGTTTACAGGCTCTGTTGAGGTAAACAGCACTTTTGAGCAATTAATGACAAAATCATGTGAATTTTAAATTGACATCTACAAGAAGAGAACTGTCTTCCCTTAAATGTGATCTCCTGCTCATGGAGATCTATAAGGACAAAGTAATATTAAAATCCAGTATGGAGTCTTCACAAATGGCTGCTAGTGGTATTAAGATGGCTATGGAAAATAGCCCCATAGCTGGATTATTAAAAGGAATATACACTGCACTTGTAAGGTTTTCACAGTGCCACTTTGGTATGCCCTATAACTGTTGGCTTAAGGGGAAATATGGGTTTTCATCTAAGATGCAGGAAGGAATCAAGAATTGCTGCTGTAGACTCTACACTGGTGATTAAATCTGTAAATAATATAATACTAACATGAAGCACATGTCCCTTACCGGATCACGTTCAAGTGTGTCATGTGTGGCTCCTTGACATTTTTGCATGTTGACCTCTATGGTCCCCAAGTAAGAACTTTACATCTCACATTATGTAAGGCTGCCCAAAGGCCACAATGGAAGGTAAAGGCAGCTGTTGTTCAGGTAGCTGTCATGCAGTCATACAGTCTGTCTGTGTTCTCTACTATCAAGTCTGGCCCATATATTAACTCTACAGCATCCAAGGGGTGACACAGTGGTCCCACCCCCTTGACTGAAATGCTTGCTGCCAGAAGGGGAAGGGAAGGAGCAACTCATGCTTGACAAATTCAAGAGGTTCTGCACCAGTAGGCCTGTGTTTAATTTTGAACAGATTCATTTCCAGGATTAAGGAACATAGGAATTATTTAGCAGCCTCTGCCCTTGCAAAGAACTGACAGCTCTTCCATAAGGTTATCAGCAGCAGGTTTCAGCATCATTTTCTAGGAGAAAGGCAAGGTATGAACCAAATTAAAAATAAATTGCAGTAATATAATCCCTAGTTCTTAAAATCTCCATATCTGATGACAGGAGGAAGCTTGATAGTAACAAAATATTGGCCGATTTAGAAGTGCAGAGAACTAATCCTGTGAAGATGTGTCCCAATTACAAAGTATATACGGTTTGATTGGCACTGGTATTATGCATATACATACCAGCCAACCCTCTGTAACACCATAACATGCATAAGGTGTGGAAAAAAGGACTATAACAAAACCAATGCAAACATTGGCTTGTCTGAACATCTGGTTTTGCTTTAAGGTATTGCCTTAACAATTTTGTCTAAAATATGTGCCATTTTGAAAACAGCTGATGAGAGTCCGAACTATTACTGGAATCACTTACTATGCAAGATCAGGTGCCAAGATAATTGGGAGTGTTCATGAGAAGTTCATGTTGGTAGATGGTGTAAGAGTGACTACAGGTTCCTACAGGTAAGTAAGCTGATGCTTTTTGTATTTGTTACAAATATCATGAGGGCCAGTGTGGTCTTGTGGGACATTTGCCATGGCCTCAACAGTTAGAATTGGTGGAACTGCTACCAGTACTAAAGCATCATTTCATTAAGCTGCTGGTATCGGCATGCTTTACTTCTACCACTTCCCATGAGCACTTTCTTTTGAAAAACTGACAAGACCTTGTCTCCACTGAAGAAAAAAAGGGAGTATCCTTGAACCTTTTTGAGTTCTTTTCTCTTCTAGCTTCCTGAATTGTATTTGTATTCAGAAGCGGCAGTATGCGGTATCTGCCTGACTGAATTATACATAAGTGATATGTGTCCTGTTAGTCCAGTCTTTTCCTACCTGGAGGAGTCATCCAGATGGCTGGCTGGAGGATGCTGGGAGTTTCTGTCCAACATATCTGGAGGGCACTAGGCTGGGCAAGGCTGGTTTATGTGATGCTCTCTTTCCCTAATTGTGTATGGACTCAGCAGGTTAGAGGCCTAACTCCTTTACTCACTCACATTCTGGGATATGTAAATTGTATCAGCGGCACTCGTTCTCTCATGCTACTCCTGCAGTTTCTGTGTCTCTGGTGATTAGGATGTTTTATTTATTTATTTATTTATTAAAACATTTTTATGCCGCCCCATTCGCCGAAGCCTCGGGGCGGCTTACAACATAGATAAAACAAGTTAAAATCCATATAAAATAATCTTAATTAAAACTCACAT